GTATAATATTGTGAAATTACAATTATAATATATCGTTATATAATTGTTTTGATATTCAAAAGCTTATTTATGATATATTGTATATATTCATTTACAAAATAATATATCATAAATTTATAATTTTATATGATATTATAATTATATCAATACCGTTATTATTATTTTTATTTTTAACTGAAGTTAAACATCAATGCCATTATTTTGTACTTGGATTGGCATCAAACTTTATTTTTAAACATATTCTACAAAAATGACAATTACTATAATAATTATTATATGGGATTACCATGTAGACATAACATCTCATACATATTGGTTGTTATCTTTTGACAATGAAAATTTATTATAAATTTTACAATGTTCATATAATATTAGACAAATAAATATATTTTAAATCACATATCATATATATAAAGTCAATAAAAATTTCATCATTTTATAATTTATATTGTAAAATTTCAAAATCAATAAAATTGTCAAAATTTTATTTTCCCATAGAAACGGTTTAAAATTTTGTTATTCCAATTATTGATCAATAATTGGTGTTCCTCTTAGCAAGAAATCAGATCTTATGGTTAGAAATATATTCAATTTATGGGAAATGCTATTGGGGCAATTATTTTGTTTTACTTTTTTGTATAATATGACGTGTTATTAAAATGATTGGTTCTTTTAATTCATGTGGGACTGGTGATATTGAATGCATCTACTTATTTAATAACATGTAAAAATTATATTAAAAAGTGAAATAAAAAGATTCCTCCTATAATACTACCCTTAATTTATTTGGTCCTTGGCCGATAACTAAATTACTCCAGCGGTAAGGTGACTCAATGGTATGGTGCTCCTAATTAAATTTATTATTGCTCTAATTCCACTATATATAAGTTAAGTGGTGCTGGGTCTTGCTCTTCTTGTTAGAGCAACAACAGAATTACCAACTTCTACAATGTCATCCTTCTTTACTGCCCAAGAAAATATCAAACAAAATGAAGTCTCCCCAAAATCATACAAGGAGCTCATCTTGACCCTGTCCAAAACCGAAGCCTGAAATCTTTCACACGACCTTTATCAGTATCAAGGCTTTTGGTACTACCCCATGTTCTTGGAAGGTATCATGTCAGCTCAAGATCAATTCAAGAGCCAGCCTACGGATATTGTCCTCTGCAGCGCCCCACCCAAAACTGGCACCACATGGCCCAAGGCTCTGACTTTTGCCACCGTCACAAGAAATTCCTTTGACGATTCCTCAAACCCTTTGCTCACCAAATTATCCCATGAATGTTTCCCTCTTCTGGGGCTAGATCTTAACAATACCTCCAGTACTCGGGACCCTGATTTGCCCCTCTTGGCCACCCACATGCCCTACAATTCCTTGCCAAAATCGATACTTGAGTCTGGTTGTAAGATTGTTTACATCTGCAGGGACGCCAAGGATGCGTTTGTTTCAATGTACCACTTCATTAGGAGAAAATTAATGCAGAGAAACCTCAACCCCTTGTCACTAGAGCAGGCATTTGAGTTGTACTGAAAAGGGGAATGCAACCATATGTGGACCATATTGGGACCATGTTGAAGGGTACTGGAGAGCGAGCTTGTAACCTCCGGATAACATACAGTTCTCGAAATACGAAGAAATGAGAGAAAATGTAACTGTTTACGTGAAGAAATTGGTGGAGTTCATTGGCTATCCTTTCTCCTTTGAGGAAGAGGAAACAGGGGTGGTGGAAAGAATCGTAAAGATGTGTAGCTTTGAGAATCTGAGCAACCTGAAGGTGAATAAGACCGGAAAGCATCGGCTGGACACATCAATGCCGATTTCAAATAATGTGTACTTCCGAAGGGCGAAGATTGGAGATTGGGAAAACTATTTGACGCCGGAGATGGTTGTGCGCTTTGATGCTAAAACAGAGCAGAAGCTGCAGGGGGCTTGGCCTGACTCTGGTTGTTTGTAAGAGCTAATCGTCGAGTGATTTGCTTCGCGTTGTGGCCTTTTCAAGTTTTTGTTCTTAGGCTTCTATGTTTGTGGAAATTCTTTTCAGGAACTGTATTTGTAGGTGCTGCTGTGGCAACGTATCTCGTATTGTTCGTTAATGGCACCATATGTATGGTCCAACCAAATAAAAACGTTTCGACTATCATTTGCCTTCGTTATCATCAACTTAATTTGGTTTCGTTGTGTCTAGTGAAAGGACTACTATGTGTTTAGAGAAATAAAAAAAAAACTCTGTTACAAATGCCCAATCTGCATGAAATAGTACCATAAGGATAAAAGACCTTTCTAATGGAGGGCATGGACCCATTTTTTAGTAATTAAGGCTGCGAGCTTTTACAAGTTGCTAATTAAAGATGAGTTGAGCGTATAAAGGAAACTAAACCTATTTATGGCACTAAATAAGTGATTTCACCCAAGAGCTATTCGATTACCAAAAAATTATAGAAGTAATTGCTATAAGTAATCAAATAGATCTAAAAGAATCTCCTAATTTTGTGGTTAAAGCATTTGATAGGTCTTATCTAATACTCTAATTTTTAAAACAAAACGATTAGTTAAGGACTCCACCCATGATTATCAAAGTAAGCATTGCAACATATCCAAACCCAGCAAGGCTTACATTCACACCGTCTTCTTTCTCCACCACAGGTAAAAACCGATGAAAATACATTAAGAGAAGCGAGGCATGTAGAGTCTCCCAAAAGGGAGAAACTTAAAGGGAGAAAATTTTACTTTTATTCATGCTCCCTAGCTGCCAAGGGAGAAAGAGGCGGCGACTAAGGGTAAAAAAAGAGCAAGAGAATGTGAAAGGGATCAGAAGGGAGAGAGAAGCAGCTAGGGTTTGAAAACTACACATGACAAAGGCAATAGGAGAAAATCTTTGGTAAGATAGGAATAAGAATTTCTATCTACCTAAAATCTACCAACTCTTTATAAAAAATAAATAAAATTGAAAATCTTCCCTTTCCCTCCAATTGAGAAAATCTCCAAGTGGCCAACAATTTAAGTGGCCCAATAGTTAGTTATTTTTTTCCTATGAAAATAAAATGTTTTGGATTTAAATTACTTAATATGCGAATGGAATGAGTTAAAGAATAAAAAAAAAAATCTCATTATACAACTCAATATAAAAAAACAATGTCTACAAGTGGGGCTTTTTTAATAATAGCAAATATAAGATTTTATTATTTATGCTACAGAGAGTACTCTATCCCATTACACAAACAAACTAGCACAAGACAGACAAATCATCCAACTCACAAACACCAAAACAAAAGCTACAAGCACAAGCCTCACAGAACAGCAACACATCAAGGAATGAGATATATTTTAAGTCAATTTCTTTAGCAATCAAGACTTTGATTTCTCACCTCTTCAACGGCTCCTGTCCTCTTGATTTCTACAAGTGGGGCATTTGCTAGATTTTTTTCATTATTTTAACTTCTTAGGTACTTCTATAGACTTTTCAACCATGCTCCTTACGTTATTGCAAAAGTTATTATAGCAAAGTTGTTGTAGCTGACCTGAATCACTTGGGAGAAGGCCATATTCCGAATTCTGTATATCCATCTTCAGTGGCACAAGCTCGAAACATGCCCGTGGTATTAAAGGCCATGGTAACTTCTCCTGTTGCAGATACAGCAACCAACCCAACATTGCCTTTTGGAGTACTCTCCTCCACAACATAAGCTGCAGCTTCCTTGAGAGAAAGACCTTTGAATTCCATGAGAGCAGCCACATCCCTTGCAACAGTACCACGTATTATTTCTTCTCCTTTGCCTGTGGCAGAAACTGCACAGAGCCGGTTGGCATATGTCCCAGAACCTATGATTGGTGTGTCCCCAATCCTACCCACCATTTTGTTCACAAATCCACCAGTAGATGTTGCAGCAGCCAAATTTCCATGACTATCAACAGCCACACGACCAACTGTTCCAATTTGGCTGTCACCATCAGCAACGTGTGTTTCTTCTACCTTCCCTTCTTTTTGAATAGGTTGTGTATAATCAATCTGTAGAATGTAGATATACAGTTCAGAATTTTAATCTAGAAACTACAGAAGTATGTCGTGAGTTAAAATCAGGTTTTGCTAATGTAAAAGTTTAATCTTTTGAGATCCCACCAGCATCTGAAAACCAGATAGAAATTTTCTCAATGCTATGGCAAATTTGAAGCAGATGAAAAGTATTAGTTTGTAATGTTCATATATTCTTGAAGAAATTCTTTTTATGCTTTAAGAAAGCAACATACAATTTTGAAATCATGTTTCTGGTAAAAGCAGAGAAAACAAGAAGCTGGCACGCAATTAAAACATGATTGAGGAAATGCAATGTAATTACTATGATCAGCCAAAGTCAGGGGTTTAAACTACTGCAGTGCCAAGCAGCTATATCTCCGATACACCAAAAAAAAAAAAAATTTCAGAAAATGTCTATCCATAAGGATATTTGTTATAAGAAACAAACCTGAACTCTGTTGGCTTCTTTTGCCTGATTAAGCCTTTCAATATTATCTTGAGTAATAAAATGGCTCGGATCAACAGTCTCAACCCCCTAACCAAATTCAAACAATACCGTTAAAACAAACAGAAAAGTTGATGACAACAACTTAGCTAATTCCCAGTGATGAGAACTAGATTTTTAGTTCTACACAACAAATGTTGGATCACACAAACTTAAGATTCAATTCAAAGTTCAAAAGATTCAGAGATTTGTGACATAATAACAGGCAGCAGGAGAAGAAACAGAGGGAAAATATTATTTTTGCAATTGGAGGCATCTCAAGCCTGTTAAGTTAGACGCAAGAGATGCTTAGTCTTGACAAAATAAGAGGTCAAACCCCTATGAGAGTCACTAATCCCAACAGAGCAGAGGGGCTTTGCCTGTATAAGTATGGGGACAGTAAAGGCGTGCTCAGAGAGCAAAGAATGCTTGTTGCTTACTTGTTCCCTTGCAAAAGCCTCTGCTCCATCAAATGCCAAATATATATGAGGAGTCTTTTCCATGACCAATCGTGCCAGAGATATGGGGTTAACAACAGTTGTAAGACCAGAAACAGCACCGCATTTCTTTGTCTTGCCATCCATGATGCAAGCCTCCATCTCAACTGTCCCTGCCGTGGTTAGGACAGATCCCCTACCTGCATTAAAGTTTGGAATATTTTCCAGTTCTCGCACCTATATGTGGTAGAATCAACATTAATTTGAATAAATTAATACAAAGCAAGAACTCAAGCACAATCTTCCAATCATTTTCATTGTCATGTTATGACTTTTTCAATGTTTCATACAACAAAAGAATCTGTCCCATTTTTTCTAGGATAAGGAAGAAACCTTTATGAAATTCAATTAAGCAAATGGTAAAGAAATCAATAGTGGCATTGAGATTTGAGAATGTAGCCAAAGAAACATAAATCTCTTGAATTGATGCCGAAGGTCAAAAGGGAAAAAGTGAAGAACCCATTTCATTGTAGATTAAAATAAACTTCCAAAGAGCCAGTGCATCTGCGTGCTATATTAATGTAACAACTAAATCAACCGGAAGATGTAAATGGTCATGAGTCATAACATGTATACCCTTCAAAAGATATCATAAAATTTCTATTTTTGTAAATCTTAGCCATATAAAAGCTAATGCCATTTCCTCCTCACTCAGAGATAATGATACAAGTATAAATTGCATAGATAAATTGCATGAAATTGTTATAATAATACAGAACAAAATATTGCATATCCTTTGCTTTCTTTAAAAAGGTTTGATCTTGAACTCATAATTTCTTATTTCAACAACATCATAAACCAAAATAAGTTGCAGAAAAACATTAAAACAAAAATAACCCATTCCTCTAAAGTAGACCACCCAAATTAGTATATTACTGCAAAAATTTGATAAAAACAATTTATTACAATCTGTACATCTCTCTGATTACCAACCCACTAATTCAGAATTTCACATCAACAGAATCATCAGTTGATATTCAGAGTCCGGTGACTGTAACCGGGTTTACCCTCGAAGCTCCAAGCGGATGATGAAGATGGGTATAGTCATATGAAAATTATACCGAAACGGCATGATCCCAGGCATAAGATGAACATGTGTACAGAGAAGAACAATATAGGTGTAGAGAAACATACCACAAGTTCAACAACGTCCAAGGGGTGTTTGTTGGCTTTGAGAGCAGCAACCCCAATATCGAGGCAGTGGCGGAGGGCGGTCTCCCGGGGGATGCGACGTTCGGCAGGCATAGAGCGCGCGATGTCGCCAGCGCCTCCGTGTAGAGCAATTGTCCACCCCATTGGCTTGGTTGTTTGATGAACTGACTGCAATCTTCTTCTGTCCGTGAGGATCCCACCAGAGCGCCTTCTACTTCTCTTTGCTTCCTTCTCTTCTCCTCTTATAGCGTTGGACAGTGTACTCAGTGGGACTTTGTGTTGTTAAGTCTCCCAACATGATTCCGTACTTCCTAGTTTCTCCATTCGGGCACGCGCCCTTCTATCGTCTCACATGCTTATTCGTATCATAGACTGCTACAGCTCAAGCTTTGATGTATTGGTGAAGCAGTGTCTTCCTTTGCATCACTAATAACTGTCAGTTTAAATGAAACAAACTTAGTTTTTGAAGTAAAGTTTTGAA